AATAGTTTCTTGCTCAGAACAAAGAAAGGAAAATGACTTGGGGCCAGGACTCACCACTGGTACCATAATTGGGTCCCCATGTGCCCTGTCACGCATGGCAAATTGATCCCAGCAGCCTTTCAGAGCCACCATCAATCAACTGGAGTTGGCACTTGAGGTGATAGCCATTTGGCATCCTGGCACAGGGATGTTACTCAAAACTCTGGGCTGGCAGAATGAAGTGTCCCTCTCTAGAGCACAAAGGCCCCCTTGGGTAAGATAGCTCTTGTCCCATGGAGTCACACCGTCAGTAACATTTTGTGCCAGCTGCCACTTGGGCTGAGAGTTCTCTTTCCTACATTTAGGAGAGGATTTAATTAGCCCAATGATCGTTATGGATCTTTCCAAGGGACTTGGGCCCTGGTCCTCCTGGAGCCTTTCCTCTTACAGTGACCTTGTGGTCTAGCACCACCCCTTCCCCCACAAACTTACTGATAATGGCAAGAGGGGCTGGACAGACCTCTGCTGAGATTGTGCACCTAAATCAGCCCAAATAAGGACTGTTTCACCCCTCTTCTAATTCCTGGCAGGGTTCCAGAGACCTGTCTGCCCCTGAGCTGGATCACTGACTATATACAGAGGATCGGGGTGGGCAGCAACAGTTCCAAGATGACTTAGGGCTACTGCCTGGCAGTGGCCCCGCCATGACCCAGGCTGCAGGTGTGGGTCAGAAAGTCAGAGAGCAGGAGAAATGGTCTCTACCACTCATCCACTGCCACAGGGACCAGTACCCAGTCTCCCCCTCTCTCCAACTCTCTCTACCTGGCCATTGGCCAGCTTTTGTAGGGACATCCTTGTAGGGCACACGAGAAAAGCTGCAGGGATAAAAAGGTTTCAGCTTGACATCAGGAAGAACTTTACAACAGTTCTAGATGTTCACCAAAAGTGTGGTCCCATAGGCTGTCTAGGGATGTGTGTGATTAGAAGTGGGATGGCAGCCTCTTACAGCCCTGAGATCCACCTTGCCCCATCTCATTTGCCTTGCTTGCTCCCTAGCACCAAATGTCATCCAGACTGGAACAAGCGGTGACAGAAAACATCAGTGTCTGCTCTGGCACCATCTAGATAGAAGAGTGTTGCTAGTGGTGGGACTGGACCAGGTCCATATGCTGCTCTCTGTGGTGGAGTAGGATTTGAACCTCTGTCTAACCCACGCATGACTGCATTCTCCTTTGCAGGCAATGGAAAAGCACTGTTAATGAGAGCCTAGCCATTCTGTGTCTCACTTCTTTGAGGCGTGTGGCCCAGTGGTTTGGTGCACACCACACTGCAGCTGCTGCTCCATACCACAGGGCATGGTCACTTGCCTCCGAGCCTCAGGTCCTGCTTATTCAACACCACCATCTCTTGGCTGGATTGTATGGTCCAACTGACCAGAGGGGAATCACTGGCACCAGCCCAGCACACTTCTGTTGCAGGAGGGAAGACTGTGTGTCTTGCTGGGTCTGCTGACTGCTGGCCATGAGTACTCAGGCATCTGGAGTCCTTGGTTTCCATACCTGCAAAGGCTTCTTTTGGGTTCCAGGAGGAACATAGATGAGATAGCAAAAGAGTGGAGTGCAATGGGCCTTGGGGGCATTATGCAAGTTTGGGTTTGACTACTGCCTTTGTTGATTACCAGCCAGTTTTCTGGGCTCCAGTTTTCCACAGGGCATAAGTGCTGTGAGTCAGGATCAGGGTACCTAGGTCTTTAATGCAAGGCCCTGGAGCTAATACAACTATTTGCCATCTTTTTGACTTCAAGCAAGCAACGTAATTCCTGAGTCCTGGTGACTGCATCTGTAAAATGGATGAATGAGAGCTGTGTACTGGAACACTGGGTTTGGATAAGTGCTTAGCACATTGTTATTAACCTTAATCTATTAACTGTCATTCTTGTCATAGTGTGCTGAGCGCCCACTTCGTAGCAAGTCCTGAGTCTTTGACTTTCCACTTTCCCGGCACTCAGGCCCCAAACGGTGGGGGCAGGGAGCCCAGAAAATGCCTCTGTCCTGGTGGGAGTGTCCCAGTCAGTGCCCTTTCCCCGCCTCTTGCTCACTTGCTCATCTAATACAGATCAGGTTGGCCCAGGCTTTTATCCTTGGGGCCTGGACTTGCAGAATAACAGCTTTGAGGTGGGCTCAAAGGCTACAGTGGCTGGATGAGGCTGGAGTGCCTGGTCTCAGGTTTGTCCTGAGAATGGCGGAGATGTTGTTAGGGGGTCAGGGTGGAAGAGGAGAGGACCATCAGGTCCAGAGGCCTGGATTGGATGGACCAAGGTGCGGTGGGGTCAGAGTAGGGGACTAGGACCCAGCCTGAGGGGCGGATCCGGAAGTGAGCATTTCCATAGCGCATCAGCGAAGGTTGCCGGTAGGCAGCTGACCGATAAGCGCCTGGAACTCAGGCCGCGGCCCTGACCGGTGCTCGAGGGAATGAAGTTGGAGGCGACCTCCCGCAGGCGTCTCCCGGGAGGGGGTGCAGAGGAGGATATAAAGGCCACGGGGGTCACGAAGAGCTCAGACACCAGCGCAGCCTAGAGATTAGGCGCAGCCTCGGGGGCGGGGAGTTGGAAGGGCTGTAGCCGCCCCGCCTCTGAGCGACAGCGCACGTAGCCAACCGTGCCCTGGGTTGCCGCGTGTCGCGTGGTCCCTCGCCGCGCAGCCCAATCGCGAGCGCGCAGGCGGCAGCAGGGGCGGGGCCTAGGCAGAAGCGGAGGCGCGCCGGCGCGGCACCTGGAAGTCGGCGACGGCGGCGGCCGCGAAGGTGAGTGTGTGGGTGGCGGTCGCGGCGGAGCCCGCGCGGGCTCCGAGGCGTGGGTCTCCTGAGGCGCACGTGGGGAGGGGCGGGGCCGCAGCTCTGCGTCCCGCCTCAATTTCCCCTTCTCGAGGCGAGAAATGGAAATCAAACGTCCGGGTCCAGGGAGACCAAACCGATCCCGGGCGACGAAGGGCCCTTGGTGGTACTAGAAGGCGTTTCCAGTGATCTCCGCCCGGGCTAGATGTTGCGAGGTGGCTGCAAGGTGGGTGGGTCAAGGCGTTGGTCAGCTTTGGAGCCCTGAGTCACGCTGCTGCCTCTCAGCATCCTGCGGGGACAACGGGGTGACAGATGTTGTCTATCCGAGTAGGCAGCAAGTGATAGATCATCTCTGCGCTGGACACGGCCTTCCTAGGGTGGCTCAGGTAGTCAGACCCTTCCCCCAGGGTATCAGGGGTGGGGGCTGTGCAGGGCTGCACCCAGGGCAAGGCCTGGCTCCTTTGCTGGCCTTTTGAGACCCCTTCCCCCAACCCCGGCACCTTCCTGCTTCCTCCTGGCTTCTTTCTGGGACACAGTTAGAGGGAACCTTCTGCCCTTGGACCTGAGCCTCAAGTGCCCTTCCTCCAGCAGATATGTCATATGTTCGTCACAGTCCTGGCGTGTTGTCTGCTCTGGACCTGCTGACCACTGTTTTGCTGCTACTGTTTAGGCTCAGAGCCATCTTCCTTGAGGCAGACGGAAGTGGTAGCTATAAGGGACGCCTCCAGCTGGTAGTGCTTTTGAGTTGCTTTCTCACACTTGCTGGATGATCCTCTAGGGAGCCTTTTGGGCAAGTGTTCATTGGCCAAACACTGTTCACAGCAAGGACTCAGGCTGAGAGGCAAATGGTGTTCCCAGATCATTCAGAGCCAGGGCTGACTCCCAGTGCCTCTGCTCTTGGATCTCTTTCCCAGGAGACTTCCTGCATCAGATGACCTGTCAGGTGGGGTGGGGGCAGCTGGAGAGGATAGCTATGTTATGTTGGCTGGTGGACACAAGAGAGCCTCTGTGGCCTCTCAGACCAGGCTACTGCTTGCTCCAGCATGTGGTAATGACAGCCCTTCCCTGAACAAAGGCAAGAGGCCATCCACTCTGCCTGGCTGTGCAGCCCCTGAGCTGTTATTATTGCCTCATACTTCCTTTGTGTCTCCATTTGAGGGCTGTCATTTTGGTCATGTTTCCCCAAGGATGTAATGGTGTGCTGTGTTCTCAGACCTGGCCTCCACACTAGAGTGGAGAGCTCTCTGAAGGCACTGTGGCTGCTGCTGCTGCTGAGGACATCCATGGAGAGACAAGGGTCCCCAGAGCTTGTCTGGAGAGAAACAGTCCAGGGCAGGGAGGCGGGGAGCCTTCTTGAAGTGGGGCCACACTGTTACTGACACTCCTGATGTGCGAGAACAGGATCTATCCTTTGCTAACATGTTAGTTGGTGTGTGAGGGCAGCACTGCAGAGCTTTCTGTTTGTTGGTCTGTACCAGAGGGTTTGATGATGGGCTCCGTGAAAACAATGTCTTCCCAGAACCACTGAGCAGCCCTTTCAGGTTATCAAGTTTCTATTTAGATTGCAAAAGTAGTGTATGCATGCTTAAAAGTAAAAACAGCCAGCCCCTGTCTCCTGGTGGCTGCTGCCACTTGGGGTGTCTGTTGAAGTCTTCAGGACTATGCTAACTTTAAGTGCTTGTTTTCATCCTCTTTTGAGGGATTAGTGGGGAAGGTGGCTCCTTCCTCCGTTATTAATCATATTGGCTACAGGGGCCACTATGAGGCTGGGCTGGCTTGTAGGGAAGACAAGTGTTCTTGCCAGGAGAGGCCGAGGTACTGGGGCCACTTTGTGACTGGAACTTTCCTTAATGCTCACCGTGTCCCTCCTTTGTATTGCTCCCTTGAACTGTGAAGGGAGCACTTAGTGTGAGGCTGAATTAGTGCTCCTAAAAAATCTCGAAGATCTTAGGAAGAGTATCACCGTAGAAAATTTGTAATGGTGAAATACCATTTAACAGTCAAAATGACAAAGCATAGATTCAGAAGTCCTCAGTCACTAATCAGGGAGGAAGGTGGAGCATTGCAGTGGGCTGGCTGCTTAGAATATTTACAGACGTCAAGGCTTTCTCAGCCAAGGCCCAGGAACAGCAACACTGTGTTCCCATGTGTGTTTACCTCCTCTGCTGGCAGCTGCTGGGAGGATTTCAGGCATCATGTGAAAAGAGCAGTTTATGCTTACCACCTCCACCCTTGGGAGCTGTCACAGGGTGGGGATGAGGAACCTGGCCTCACAGCCCTCCTGTGTGAAGCCTGAGAGACCCTATCCCCTGCATGGCCCCTCAATACCAGATGGACAGGTGGTTAGCCTTAATGTATTCCTAAATGTGTGAAGTGCTTGGTATAATGAAATGGAGCCTGACTCTAGGGCTCAATTAACCTCTGTCCAGAGTCTTAGCACTTGCAGCCAGGTAGGACACTGATTCGATGTGAACCGGAAGCCTCACTTTCCTGAGTTTCTCTGCTCCCTCTACTCTGCGTCATGGTGAAAATATTCCTCATTCACTGGCATGCATCCCTGCCATTCATTGCTGCATTCTGACGTGACATCTTCTCACTGATCAGATGCCCTTTTTGCCTTTTCAGTTGACAAAGAGAAGTGCCCCTGCCAAGGACGCAGGTCCGCTTCAGCCCTCCACCCCAGGGGTTGGGCGTGGACTTGATCAGATGTGGCTTTGCTCTTGGCTCAGGTGGGTGATGTCATTGTGGAGAACTCACAACAGCCCAGCAGTTCCTGGTCCTGTTTTGAGGTGTTTTGAGCCAGTGCTGAGTCCATTGTTGTCTCGTCTCCCATGAATAGTCTCTTCTGGCTTTTTCTGCTTTACCTCTCCCTGCCCAGAGGAATGTCATGAAGCCAGTGGAGAAGGAAGGCTGAGTCTGTCCACTTGCTTCTTATGGGCAGCTTTTGGGGGTAGATAATCCATTTTTTTCCTTCATGTCGAACATGCCTACGTTGTGTCTAGTTCCATGGATGGTACAGTGAGCCCAGCCTCTCAATTACCATCTATATCAGGGCATGGAAACCATCGCCAGCACCCACATGTCTCCTTCATATCCCTTTTTGTCCCCTAGACCAGGTGGCTCTGCCCTGACTTCTGGTCCTGTGAATGACTCTTGCTCGTTTCAGGCCTCTGTGCAAGCACTGAGCAAGGTGGTCTCTCCTGGGTGGGGCCTCTCATTCCACCTCTCACTACTTTGGTAGCGTGGATGCCACTGTGGACCGTCATGGGGTGGTTTTCAGTTCTGGACTTCCTTGGCTATGTTGCTTCATGGACAGCACCTGGTTTGGCCAGCAGGAGTGGGGCCTGGCACACTTGGTCAGAGTTTTAGAAGATTCTGTGAATAACCAAAAGGAGACGTGCCCTCCAGATACCAGAGTATGTGCTGAAGCTGACACCTGGTTACACATGCAGGGCCCTGAGGGGCCATGTGACTGGATGTCTGGGTGTGGAGAGGTTGGGAAGACTGCACACCCTGGAGGTGGGGAAGCACGGGGGTCCATACCTCACACCACTCACCCAGGCAGACCCTGGGCAAATCTGAGTACTAATTAGTCCAAAATGCAACTGTACAGGGAAGTCAAGACAAAGAGGCTCTTACTTTGGGACGGGGGGCGGGGGGCGGGGGAGGGAGGCAACTGATGTATAGGAAAGATGGGAAAATTGGCTGTAAAATAACAGACTTTCTGTTAGGCGGCACCTCAGGCAAGGCTGTAATGCAGGGGAGGGACTGGGAAAAATATTTGAGGCTCCACATATGGAGCAGACAGGGCATGTCTGCCACACTGCAGTCAACCACACTAGAGGTCATTGTGACGAAGGCCCAGGATTCAGTACCCAAATTGGTGATTTGTGGACATGGGCCTCCTGGGGGCAATAAGATATGCGACTACTGGGGGATGCCAAAGAAACTGTGGTGAGAGCATTTCTTGCCACCACAGAAGAGTGAACCATGGGAGGTTCCCCACCAATTGGAGTTGTGGGTAGAGGCCCTCTTGAATGGCAGGTGGTACCTGCACTGGATATTTGGAGGGAGTTGGGTCAGGTGTGCTCATCTGAGAGCCTCAGCCTCTGACTGAGCCATTATGCTTCCTGGGTCACTATCTTAGGAGGGTCCTTGGCTGTTTACAGAGCATGTGTATGGGAGGCCATCCCCCATGAACACTGGGCAGCAGTGAGCGGGCTGGAGTCACTGCCCCTTGGAGAGGTTGAACTTGCACAGTAAGTTAGTGGGAAGACATACGCAGTGAGATCCTGTGTGTGTGTGTGTGTGTGTGATAACCCTGCAGCACACACCCACCCGTACTTTGAAAGATCTGGAAGCCCGCAGGTGATGAGATGGGGCTTTGCCGGCTGTGTGCAGTTGGAACTTTCCAGATGACAGTGTGCTCTTGGGTGACCTGGGAGTGGGAACCACAACCACATACCCTGCTGGCCCCCAGGAGCTGCTGGTTGTGGCAGCAGGAGGTGTGGAGCCTTGAGCTTGGGCATGGAGAGGCTGAACTGGGTGGGTGGATGAGCTGGTAGTGGATGTGAGAGGATGGGGTGGGCTGGAAGGAAGGGGAGGGGAGAGGCTTTTGATGCAAATGCTGGAGGAGGTGGTATTGGTAGGCACAGGATGGGTGGCAGCAGTCGTGTGTGATGCCATTAGCCTCTGGGCAGGGCGAGGTGGGCCTCAGCTGGGTGGGATCTGGAGATAGGCTTAGACCACCCCTAGCAGTGCTGAGCTCTGCCAGTCTCCCTGGCGGGTCCTTTTCTTATCTGGGCTGGCAGTGAAAATGAGGCCATATCAGTGGTCTTCAGGGCCCTTTTGCCTCCTCTCCAAGTGGCCTCCAAGAGGTCACTGGCTTGACCTGACTCTCATCCACCTGTCTCTGCACTGGGTGTCAGGGGCCAGGGAAGCATATCCTTACTGTTGATCAGTAGGCTGTG